CATGGCACGTATAAATTAATTACTAAAATTCTACAGCACACCAAAAAATGTATTTTTTGCCAATCTGACAAAAAAATAATTAGGCCAATATTTGACAAAGAAGGCAAGAATATACAATGGGAATAAAGCAGTCTCTTCAACAAATGGTGCTGAAAAACTAAACAGACACATGCAAAAAGATGAAACTAGACCACCAACTTATACCATATACAAGAATAAACTCAAGATAGATAAAAGATTTCAATGTAAGGCATGAAACCATAAAAAATCTTAGAGCAGAACATAAGCAATAAAATCTCAGATATTTCATGTTAGCAATATGTTTACAGATACACCTTCTGGGGCAAAGGAAAGTAAGAAGAAAATTAAAAAATGGGACTACATCAAAATAAAAAGTTTTATATAGCAAAAGAAACCACCATTAAAATGAAAAGGAAACCCATTCACTCTTTGGAAGAACATATTTGCCAATGATACATCTGATAAGGAGTTAATATCTAAACATAAGTACTCATACAACTTAAAAGATGAACAACCCAATTTAAAAAATGGCAGAAGACTTGAATAGACATTACTCCAGAGAGGACATATAAATGGCCAAGAGGCATATGAAAAAATGCTCAAAGTCACTAATCATCAGAGAAATGCAAATTAAAACCACAATGAGATAACACCTCACACACATCAGAATGGCTATTATAAAAAAAATCAACAAAAGCCAAAACCGGTTTAGCTCAATGGATAGAGCGTCGGCTTGGGGACTGAAGGGACCCGGGTTCGATTCCGGTCAAGGGCATGTACCTTGGTTGCGGGCATATCCCCAGTAGGGGGTGTGCAAGAGGCAACTGATCGATGACTCTCTCTCGTCGATGTTTCTAACTATCTCTCTCCCTTCCTCTCTGTACAAAATCAATAAAATATATTTTTTTTAAAAAAAAAAAATCCTGGCGGGAATGAGGAGAAAAGGGAACACTAACTAGTGCACTGCTGGTGGGAATGCAGACTGGTGCAACCACTGTGGAAAACAGTATGGAGTTTCCTCAAAAAATTAAAAATGGAACTTCTGTTTGACCCAGTGATCCCATTCCTGGGAATATATCTTACCCCTACACCCCATAAAAAAATAATTAGGAAGAATATATGCACCCCTATGTTCACAGCAGCATAATTTATAATAGCTAAGATTTGGAAATGACTCAAGTACCCATCAGCAGATGAATGGATAAAAAAGTTGTGGGACATTTACACTATGAAATAATATGCAGATGTAAAAAAGTGAGATCTCTTACCCTTTGGGACAGAATGGACTGGAAAATGTTTATGCTAAGTGAAATAAGCCAAATTGAGAAAGATAAATATCATATGATCTCACTTATTTGTGAAATCTAATGCACAAAATGAATCGACTAACAAAATAAGACCCAAAGCATGGAGGCATGGAAACAGACTGACATGCCTCGATGTGGGGTTGGGGGGGACGAGAAGAGATAAACCAGATAACTTATATACTTTATGCATAGCCCACGAAAATGGGCAATAGAGTGGTGGGGGTTAGGAATAGGAGCAGGGAGGGGAGGAGGAGGTGGGTGGGAGATATCTATCATACTACCGTGTTTCCCCGAAAATAAGACATCCTCCGAAAATAAGACCTAGCACATGGAAAGATAAGACATCCCCTGAAAGTAAGACCTAGCGCAACTTTGGGAGAAAAAATTAATATAAGACACTCTTATTTTCGGAGAAACAGGGTATCAACAATACAAATATATTTTTTAAAAATAGGTATAATTTTGACTCATTCACACCAGATGGCTATTGTGTTGGCTGTTGTCATGTTTTTATTTGACAATCTAAGGGAAAAGAAGTCAGTACTCCTGGCTAGTCGGGTATTGCATGTTTTAAAAATTCTTGTGGCTCAGTAGTTGAAAAATGCCTGAGTTAGACATTCATGAGATTTGCAAAATGTCACTCTTCCCACTAATTCTTTTTGGAAAACAAGTTTATGGATTTTTTTAAAATTAAAATGTTATTTACATTAACATGTAATGTGTAAAGGGGCCCTGAGACCAAAAAGTTTGAGAAGTAATGTACTAGAGTGATATAAAATAATTACAATTATGATAGATATAAGGCTAAATAAAATCTCCCTGTCCTATTGCAAGGCAATTAGTAATATGCATATGGTGATAATTTAGGCGACATACTGTAATTCAAGTTTAAAAGCAATAAGAGAAAATGGCTATAGTTTGAATGCTAACAAGCAAACACACATACACATAAAGCTTAATTCCAACCTCTGAAAATTATATAATATTCCATTCTCCACAAATGGGGGATATGCACCAACCTAATATTTCCCAAGAGCACTCAAAAATTCAAGTTAAAATGAAAATAATACCTTTATTTATGCTTCATTTACCACACTGACTGAACAATAACATACAAGGCAGATTATAAATTCTATGGTATGTTTAGTTTTCAAAATGACTGGTAATTCAGCATCTTCAAAGAACATTTCCACATATACATTTTTCTTCAAATACAAATAAATACATTCAAAGGTATATGTATGTTGGTTTATGCTGCCAAATTCAAGCTTGCAAAACAAGCTTGCCACCATCAAATAAATTCTCACATACTTTCAATTAGCTCAGCAATTATGTTATATCTTAGGGGAATATATCTTCCTTATGGCCCTGCACATGAATCATGCACAAATACCTTGCTTCCACTTGCCTCAGCTGGCCACCCGGCCCATCTCCTCTCCTAGCTCTCCAAAGCACGTAGCTTGCTGCCCCGCCCCCCTGCAGCTCTCTGTGCTTATAGCTCACTGCCCAACTCCCTGCTGTTCGGTTGTTATGTGATAGCATCCCGACCAATTTGCATATTACTCTATTATAAGTATAGATTATAATGTGCACAGTGGCTAACCAAGTGTCACATCACAGTGCTGAACTCATCTGATTAGCAAAAGAAAGAGAAAATAAAAAGATCACCTATACAAATACATATATATATAATGAGCAAGAAGTAAAGTGGGGAACAAAGGAATTTAATACTTCTGAACCTCAAATGTCATTAAGAAAAGGATAATAACCCTGAAGGATGAAAACCCATCCTTTTGTCATTAATAAATCACCCTACTTAAAAACCGCTCTTAAAAAAATACCTTTAGAGTTTTAGTAATTCTTAGGAGAAAAATAAAGTATTTCAACACAAGTTTGCTTTAACAAGCCCATCATTATATGCCAGTCCAGTACTAGACACTGTGAAGAGAAGCATGAGGCATGGTGCCCTTCCCACAAGGCTTAATTAAGGGACAAAATAAGTATGCAATCCTTAGTGCCATACTAGTCCAGATGAAGGAAGAGCCAACAAAGTTTAGAGCAGTAAAGGGAATGATTGTTATGACTGTAAAAGGTAAACAAATCTCTGGGTGAAGAAAATCAAGAGGAAAAGCAGACAATTATCAGGAAACTACTATAAAAAATAAGGGATTCCAGCAGAATGATCTAGAAGAGAGTGGAGAAGATGGTGAAGTTTTCAAAGGACTACTTTGGGTTAAATGGGATAAAGAAATGTATACATGTGATTTTTACTACAGAAATCACCAAATGAGGCAACTAACTACATGTTAGAATAAGAGGAGATTAATAATTATTATGGCCAATTATATTGGCCAAAAATATATTATAGACAAAAATATGGACAGATGGAGAATAAAAGAATAAAGAAATGAATCTGATTTCATATCTTCAGGATTTAGTTGATAAAGAAAACCAAGTGGATTTTTGTTAAATAAGCTGAAGATGGCACTGGACATCAGATGAGGGACTAGGCTTTTGTCACTACCACCCTGGTCCAGGTTTCTGTCTTCTCTCCCCTGGATTACTGCAATAGTCTCCAACTTCTACCCTTGCCTCCAATGTCACTTGTCATGGGCTAAGCAGAGTGAGTCTTTATAATGTAAATCAGATCAAATCACTATTCTGTTCAAAACCCTCCAGTGGCTCCCCATTTCAGTCAAAGTAAAATCTAAAATCCTTAAAATGATTTACAAATTCCTTCATGATCTGCCACCATCAATCCCCTTCCTCTCTCCAGCCTAATAGTCTACTACTTATTCTTCCCCCTTGCCCCTCTATCCCACCCACACTGACCTCCTTGCTACTCCTAGAGCATGCCAGGCTTGCTTCCACTTTAGGGCAAATGTGTTACCTCTGTCTTGAAAACTTCTAGTTGGCTAATTCTACATGGCTAACTCTTTCTAAGGCATTCAAGACATTGTTTATACCCCATCTTCTCAATATGGGCCCAAGCAAACCAAACTATTAAAAATTACAAGCTCTACCCTAATACTCCTGATCCCACTTCCCTCTTTTTTCCCAGAGAATTTACACCTCATTATTGGTGACAGAACTTACTCATTATATTTGTTTGTTGCCATTATTAAAATGAAAATACCAGGAAAGCTGAAATTTTGGTTACTAGAGTATCTGCAAAAATTCCGATAAATGGCATGTACCTTGGTTGTGGGCATATCCCCAGTAGGGGATGTTCAGGAGGTAGGTAATCTATGTTTCTCTCTCACTGATGTTTTTCTAACTCTATTTCCTTCTCCCTTCCTCTCTGTAAAAAATCAATAAAATACGTTTTTAAAAAGTCACAACTGCTGAATATCAATTTACCAAATCAGGCAAGGATGACCTTGTCTTGGCAAAGCTCAAAATACTGTTTCTTCACCATCCTACAAGACATTTTGCTGCACCACACTTTTCCACCTGCTTTGTTCTATTTCTTTATGCCCCAGGTGGAAATTAAACTGTTCAAGTAACAGCCAAAATCCATCAATCATGGTAAAGAGAAATAGCATGATATGAATAACGGAGGTAGAACAATAAGTAGAAAAGCCTTGGTAATGACCTTACGAGTGCATGTTGAGACAGAAAATCTATTCAACATGTACAGGAATCATATTAAATAATTCTATTCTCACTTACCTGATGAGCTCTCAGTAAATACTGTTAAAGTTTGTCCTCCAACACTTTGCAAGACAAATGGATGTTCTCTAGGAGCACTTACTGAAGCTGGTTTTCCACCAATATCATGAATATTTGCAAGATCTTCATTCAAAGTAAATGACACCTAAGAGACACATTAAGTAAAGCTTATTACAATAGACTTTTGTATTCAAAAGTACAGAAATTCTGATAAGTCAAATAATTTTTTGTGTGAATTTCTTCCAGTCATTTAAGGATTTTTTTAAACTTCATCCAAAATTTTAATACTTTAGTCATAAAAAGAGACTACTCCCATTTGTCAGAGTAATGGGGCTAATCTACCATTATAAATACAAATAGCTTTCAAATATTTTCTCTCGTCTATGGCTGGAGAAATTCTATTTCCAAAATAGGAATATGTTTATCCCTAAGTTCTCTGAGGTCAAGAGACCATGCTTTGTTATATTTATATCCTTAAATTATATACATCTCCTAGATAGTGTTTAGCACAGAGAAGAAAAACAGTATTTGCTGAATGAGTGAATATTTAAAGTAAATTAAGAAAGCAATTGTGAAGGGGGAAAAATGAGCTACTTAGAAAGCTTAAACATTCCCGTAAGCAGAGGATACATTTCCTTTTTAGGTCTTAGTAACTAACTACTGTGATTACATGGTGCTGTTTTATATTTTAATACTTTAATAAGTACAACTGAATATTGACAAGAATAATTTAATGTTGAGGTTTAGGAAAAAAAGACATAGTATGCATTCTTTCAGAATGATTTTTACCACATACTAGATATCAACAAAAAGAGATCTATTGTGTAGTATCAAATATTACATCGAAGGGATTTATAAACAAACAAAATACTGATCTCCCAACCATGGAGGAAGATTATGCACCATTTATTAACTATCTCTCTGCTGTGTGATAGGTACTGAAAATTATGTCCTAGACTTAATGGGTCAAAATCTAAAGCCCTCAAAGATCCAAATCAAATGCCTATGCCACACTGAAATAATGTTAAAATATTACTGAAGTAATACTAGTTTCTGTAAACACTGAGAGAGGGCATATTTTAGATCAAAGTAGAAAAATGCTAGGAAGGAACTAAAAAGGAGTCCATTCATTCACACACAAGTGGCATTTATACTACTACTAGTGGCCTGGTGCATGAAATTCGTGTGTGTGTGTGTGTGTATGTGTGTGTCCCTCAGCCTGGCCTGTATGTACCCTCTCCAATCTGGGCATCCCTCTCACAATCTGGGACGACTGGCTCCTAATCTCTTGCCTGCCTGCCCGATTGCCCCTAACCACTTCTACCTGCCAGCCTGATCAATCCCTAACTACTCCCCTGCCAGCCTGATTGACATCTAACTGCTCCCCTGCCCGCCCGACTGCCCCCAACTGCCCTCCCCTGCCAGCCAAATTGCCCCCAACTGCCTTTCCCTGCCAGCCCAATCACCCCCACTTCCCTCCCTTGGTAGCCTGGTCGCCCATAAATGCCCTCCCTTGTCATGACCTGCCTCCTCCGCCAGGCCCCTCCTCTGCTCTGTGCGTGGCCATCTTGTGGCAGCCATCTTGTGATGACCACCTAGGCTTTTATTAGTATAGATGTGTTCCTGGCCATTAGCACTAGTTTGATGTGGAGCTTTCCAGAACACAACCACCCTCTCTTTGCTATTACTAATGCATAGTAAAATAAACATATCCTATCTAATAAAAGAATAATATGCAGATTGACTATCACTCCAACACACAAGATGTGTAGTCAAAGATCCTGCCCCCATGTGTTTTCATTTACCAAAACAAGATGGCCAGCAGGGGAGGGCAGTTAGGGGTGACCAGGCTGGCAGAGGACAAAAATTGGGGGCGACAGGGCCTGCAGGGAAGGGCTGTTGAGGGAGAAGGGGAGGAAATGCTTGCAGGGCAGGGCAGTTGGGGGGGACCAGGCCTGCAGGGGAAGCACTTTAAGGGCAAACAGGCTGGCAGGGGAGCAGTTAAACATCAATCAAGCTGGCAAGGGAGTGATTAGGGGGTGATCAGGCTGGCAGGCAGAAGGGGTTAGGGGCAATCAGGAAGGCAGGCAGGCAAGCAGTTGGGAGCCAACAGTCCTGGATTGTGAGAGGGATGTCTGACTGCCTGTTTAGGCCTGATCCAGTGGGCAAACGGACACCCCTTGAGGCGTCCCAGATTGGAGAGGGTGCAGGCTGGGCCCACCCTCCATGCATGAATTTCATGCACCGGGCCTCTAGTGTTTTAAATAAAGTTTAAACAGAAATAATCTTACCTCAGTCCTTCCTTGATTCCTTAAAGAGAAAAAAGGGAAAAATTTTAATTCATGTTTTTTCTTCCAAATTTATGCTGAACATTTAAAGAAATAACACCACTGCATATTTACCCATGACTCTCCTCTCAACTATCCTATCTGTAATTCTATAAGAAAAACAAGTCTCATTAATCCATATGAGTATTTATTAGAAGTTTGTGTCACTTCATACTATTACAACCTGCCCTAATAATATGTTATCCAAATAATGACCTGATTACAATTCTTATCTTTATTTCTGAACAATTTTTAGCATTCAGGAGAATGTGAATATATGTTTAATACAGATGTATTTATTACTATTTATTTTGTTTAGCTAAAGATGTTTCATTTACCAAACGATATCTTAAAAATCAAAATTAAATTTAATAATACTTTAAAATTACAAGCAATTTTCTACACTATAAAAACAATATACGGTCTGGCCTGTGTAGCTCAGTGGTTGAGCATCAAGCCATGCACAAAGAGGTCAGAGATTCGATTCCAGGTCAGGGCACATGCCAAGGTTGCAGGCTTGATCTCCAATAGGGGGTATGCATGAGGCAGCCAAACGATGATGTTTCTCTCTCATCGTTGTTTCTATCTCTCCCTCTCTTTCTATTAAAAATCAATAAAAACATATTAAAAACAACAACCCCCAAACATAAATATATAGACAAGTCAAAAGAAATTTTAAGATAGCCATAATTCCACTGTTAACATCTTGGTACAATAAATATTTTTCCAGACTATTTATGTGTTTGAATGACATTTTTAAATGTCTTTTTTTTTTTCTCTCACAAATCTGGAATCAATGTAGACTTTACATAGTAGCCCAATTTTAAAAAACATGTATTAAATTCTTTTTAAAAAAAAATATATTTTATTGATTTTTTTTACAGAGAGGAAGGGAGAGGAAGAGAGAGTCAGAAATATCGATGAGAGAAAAACATCCATCAGCTGCCTCCTGCACACCTCACACTGGGGATGTGCCCGCAACCAAGGTACATGCCCTTGACCGGAATCGAACCTGGGGCCCCTTCAGTCCCCAGGCCGACGCTTTATCCACTGAGCAACACCGGCGAGGGCTGTATTAAATTCTTACTATATGCAAAATATTAAGTACAATGTCTCTATAAAAGTTATTAACATTTAATTAAGAGAGCCACAATGTGCCAGGATCAGATGAACTGAGTAACGGATGAGGTCAAGAGCATAGGAGCATTCCAGGCTAAGAGAATATTCCATTTGAACACTAGAAATGAGAAATTATCTAATACACCCTTCCAAACATCAATGCATAGGCTAGAGTCAAGTGGTAAAGAGCCTCTTAGGCCAGACTAAGGTGTCTAGAATCTTAAGACAGATTTTACTGGAAGACTTCTCAAAGTCTTTAATATATTAAAATGCAATGTCAATCTACTTTTGTTGGAGAAGTATCTAGAATACAGGTGAAGAAATTTTAAGATTTCACATACGAATATGAATTTCCAGCTTCTCTTAAAGATTTGAAAGGTTTGGCAACAATGTACCTCTAATTCAGCTCTCAGTAAATACAGATAGGCAGGCACTGAATTCACTACAGTCCCTTCCCTATCACCCCAGAACTTGGCTTCTTGAGGCATTTAATGTAGCTACCTTTAAGAGAGAGGCACTGTAGGTAGAGCAAAGGCAAAGATGCAGAAGATACAGTACTTGCATAATTTTTACTGAATTGACTTGAGGCTAATGCAAAAACCCAGGTAAAAAGTAATGAAAGCTCGAACCCAGTTATGGTAGAATGCAAGGACGGTTGGTTGCACAGGAGCCAACTAGAAAAAGTTTCCACTGGCTAAATTTTGGACAATTTGAACATCAGAATAAATGATGATGATAACAAATCATAGTCCACTAAATAAAACTGGGACCCTTAAGTTTATACTAAAATCCTATATAATAAAAGCCCGGTGACAGAACAGTGGAATGACCAGAATGATCAGTCGCTATGATGCGCACTGACCACCAGGGGGCAGATTCTCAATGCAGAAACTGCCCCCTGGTGGTCAGTGCACTACCACAGTGGGAGCACTGCTCGGTTGACCAGATGAGGGGCTGTTCCAGCTGCAAACCCCAAGCCAATAGGCAGGAATCCCTCTTCAGCCACAAGATTCTCTTATAAGAAATTCTGGTGGTTTACTTTTTCTTCAACTACCATTGAGGAAACTAATTTGAATACAGCATTTCAAGTCACCTCTACTGAGGATCTTATTTTGAAGAGAATTGAAAGACTGGAATGAGAAAAACAAGGAATAGAAGTACTGGTCATGTACCCTAGCAAGAGAGAGAAAAAAACACACAAAATATTCTATCTGTATGGGGCTTTGGGTGATCCCTAGAGGGGTCAATAATGTTCAGCTGATACAATCAAACTGGTACTACATGAAAGAACACACACACACACACACACACACACATTAATATATTAGATGCAACTATATAAACCACCTGCTTTAAACTAAGAGAGAAAAAGAGCTTGGAATATTCTTTTCATTTCTTTTTGTTCCTGTTAATTCTCACCCAAGGATATTTTTCCCTTTGAATTTCTTAAAGAGAGTTGAAGGGTGGGGGGAGAGACAAGAGAGAGAGAAACATCAAAGTTAGAGAGACATATCCATCTGGATGCCTCCACATGTGCACTGACTGGCATGAGAGATGGAGTCTGCAACCAAGTTATGTGACCTTGACCAGAATCAAACCTACAACCCTTCAGTCCATGGGCTGACACTCTCACCACTGTGCCAGACTGGCTAGGACTTTTCTATCAAGCAATGGTTGATAAAGAAAAACTGCACACCATTATTACTTATTTTCCATGATATCTTTAATATATTACTTTAATAATCAAAATAGTACTTAGGGTTTGCCTAGCTTTCCCAGAACCTTGGTTCATTTTTCTCTATTTCTCATAACAGACCCCTTCTCTCCACACCAAAAAAACAATTTTACATTCCTCAAGCAGGTATTTTCTTTATACTGATGTTTCAGAAATGCAATTTTCATGGTAAAAAAAAAAAAAAATCATCTATATAAAAGGCTAATATGCTAAGTGTGTGTCCGGGTAATAATATCACATAGCAACTCCGGGATTTCTCTCCCGAGTGACTAGCCTCCTTGCAGTTTCTTCAGCCCAGGAACACCACTTACTTTATAGCCAGGTGCAAACATTTCACACTGAAACCAAATGTCTGTGAAGCATTTTCCCATGCCTCATCTCATTTGACCCTCACAAAAAGTCCTGGAGTAGTAGATCGGAGACTTGGTGGAATCCTATTTTCTTTTTGGAAAACAGAGATTTAGAAAGCTTAGAAACTTGACCTGACTGAAAAGAAGAAATGGTGTAACTTGAAAATGCTTTCAGGTTTTCTCACTGTCCAGAATATAGTCAAACACTGCTGCAGTTAAATGTTTTACCCTTTGTTCTCCCTGCATGATCTACAATAGTGATCTGCTTCGTGTTGATATTTACTGCTGTGTTGCTGACAGTTACCTGAAAGAGAAGTTGGGGTGCTTCACTGGACTGGAAAAAGTTTAGCTAAATCAGAAAGCAGGTCTAATTAAGCAAGTTTATTCTATATCTACAAAAAGCTAAGGTGACTGGCGCATGAGCAATACATATAAAGCTCTTGCTGCCGCCAATCTCACGATGTTTCGATCTGTCATTGTTGATCGTGAATTTGGTTGACACTTCTGTTATAGAGAAAGGACAAACAGTGATATTAAAATATGTCTTCTAATTAATTTCCTTTTAATGTGCACGATTTTGTGGCTTGGGCCACTAATAAATAAATAAAAGTGAAAAAATAAATAAAAAGTACACCTCCTCACAGGATATGGAAAGGATGGAGAGATGAGGGAACTGCATTCTCTGCTGCTTTACTGCCAATAAGTTTTCCCAATAAATTTGACTTTATATTTACACCTATCAGTAGGGGAGCAGTGCAAGTGTGTTTGTGTATGTACACGTGTGCACACATGGCTCCCTACAGGGCATGTAACTATTTCTTGATTAACTTTGACATGCTCATTACTTCTCATTTTCCAGGTTAAATTCTGAAAAGGACTGAAATTCCACTTTTAAAAAATAAATTTCAAACCAAATTCCAAAGAATGACAATTTTTAAAAATATTTTTTTTATTGATTTCAAAGAGGGAGGGGGAGGAATAGAGAGATAGAAACATCATTGATGAGAGAGAATCATTGATCGGCTGCCTCCTACAAGTCCCCTATTGGGGATTGAGCTCACAACCTGGTCATGTGCTCTTGACTGGAATCAAACCCGGCACCCTTCAAACCACAGGTTGATACTCTATCCAGTAGCAAAACCGGCTAGGACTGTAATTTCATTTAAAAGTACTTATGAAAAATTTTTAAACAGCTTTTTAAAATGTCAAAAATATATAAACAGCCGGGACCGGTTTGGCTCAATGGATAGAGCGTCAGCTTGGGGACTGAAAAGTCCTGAGTTCAATTCCGGTCAAGGGCATGTACCCTGGTTGCAGGCATATTCCCAGTAGGGGATGTGCAAGAGGCAGCTGATCGATGACTCTCTCTCATCGATGTTTCTAACTCTCTATCTCTCTCCCTTTCTCTCTGTATAAAATCAATAAAATATATTAAAAAATATATATAAACAACTTACTTGGCAATCCGCAGTTTTCCAACTTCACCTCTTCCAGGGGCTTTAGCCCACTGCTGTGACAAATATTTAGGAACCTAAACAAAAGTAAAATACTAATTAGACTAAGTTTTAGACAAATCTTTTTTTTTTTTAATTCTTTCTTGTTGAAAGGATTACATATGTCCCCTTTTCTTCCCTATTGATCTCCTTCAGCCTGCCTCCCCTCTCCCACCCAGGCCTTTAGCTCCTATCATGTGTCCATGGGTTATGCATATATGTATTCAAGGTCTTCGGTTTATTACCTCCTACCTACCCCCTCACGCACCTTCCCTCTGAAATTCCACACTCTATTTCATTCTTCATGTTCTCTGGATCTACTCCGCTTATCAGTTTATTTTGTTACTTAGATTCCACATATGAGTGCAATCATGTGGTACTTGATACTCTCCAAGTCCTTTTGTGCTAATAACAAATCTTTATAAACATAAAAATAGAGGCCTGGTGCACGTAATTCATGTACAGGGATGGGATGGGGGGGGGGGTCCCTCTGCCCGGCCTGCACCCTCTCTAATCTGGGACCCCTCGGGTCTGCTAGCTCCTAACCACTCACCCTCCTGGTGCCCTTATCCCCCTCACTGCTCTCCCCTAATGGCCTGACCCCCCTAACTGCTCTCCCCTTCTTGCCTGATCGCCTCTAACCGCCTCTGCCCTAGCCCTGCCACCATGGCTTTGTTTGGAAGGTCGTCCAGAAGATGTACAGTCTAATTAGCATACTATCCTTTTATTAGTATAGATAGATGCCACCTTGTCCTAAAAAATGCAGGTTAGCAGGTTTTCCTATCATGGAAGGGGAACCCACAGTGACATCCTGGGTTCTGACCAGGGTGTATGCGTTCATGCTTTATCTCAGCAGAGATTCCTAGAAGACTCTTGGATATACCTTGAACATTTCTATCAATTTTGCCAAATCCTCCAAAAATGATGAACCACTTTAAACTCCCACCAGCAACCATGCATGTGCCCTCTGTCCTACTTTGACGCTAATATCATTGATTTCTCCCTAGAAGCTCCCCTCTCCTCAGCTGGGACTGCTTGGCCAAAGGGTTTTTATAATAGAGATGCCCTAAGACTTCCTCAATAACAGTACCAGGTGTACGATTAATAATGGCGGGTTTTGTAATAAAAGAAAACACGGTAATTTCAGGAGAAACATCAAAAATGCTTTATTCAAAGTAATGTCCATCACTAGCTACACATTTCCCCATCTTTTAGGTAATTTGTGGATACTGTCCCAATAGAACTCGTTTTGAGGCAAACCATTCAGAGACCCAATTTTCCACTTCTTCGTACATTTTGAAGTGCGGCTCAGAAAGATCAGAACAAGTGGTAATCTGAAGGAACAAGGCCTGGTGAATACAGTGGGTGAGTTAATACTTCCCAGGCAAGATCTTTTAACGTGTCTTTAACTGGTTTTGAAGTGTGTGATGGTGCATCCTCATGAAGCAAAATTACTTTGCTGTCTTCTGGAACATTCTGGTCGTTTTGCTATCAAAGTGTGGTTCAAATTGATTATTTGTTGTCGGTAGCAATTAGTATTAACTATTTCACCTGGTTTTAGAAGCTCATCATACACCACACTTTCCTGATTCCACCAAACACAGAGCACTGTATTCTTTCCAAAGTGATTTGGCCTTGCAGTTGATGATGATGGTTGATCTGGATCAACCCATGATTTTTTTGTACTTGGGATTCTTAAAATAAATCCACTTTTCATTGCCAATCACAATTTGATGCAAAAAAGATTTTCTTTCATGCTACTAAAACAACATTTTACTGATGACTTTTCGCTTTTCCATTTGTCTTTTGTTTAATTAATGTGGCACCCATTTTCCTTCCTTTAAAATCTTTCCCATTGCATAAACAATCAGAAATTGTTTGCTGAGCAACGTTTAATGTTTCTGCAAGTTGTTTTGATTTTGATACACATACTCATCCAATAATGCTTGTAATTGTTGGTCTTCAAACTTTTTCAGTTGACCTAATTACATCAGAAAAATAAGGGGGAGAGCAAGTAACACTTAGAGTGCTTACTGAATGTGGCAGGGAAACTCTAAGATGCCCTCTCCTCCCACCCACCCTATATTCACACCATTGTATAATCTCCTCTGCTTCAGTGAGAATGGGACCTGTGACTTGCTTTTTTCTATTCAATACAAAAGTGGTAGGATGTTACTTTTGTGATTAGGTGGCTGCAGTCCTGCTTCCTGTTGTTGATTCCTTGTAAGTTATTTTTTATTTCAGTTAGTGTATCCTTCATTTCTGACTGGTCCTTTTTTATGCTGTGGACTAAGTTCATTGAGCAATGTTATAACCAGTGTTTTAAGCTCTGCATCTAGTAGATTGTTTCCAGTTTGTTTAGTTCTTTTCTAGTGCTTTGTTCTGTTCTTTCATTTGGGCAACCTCTCTGTGTTTGTTTCTATGTATTAAGTAGAGCTGCTACGTCTCACAGGCTTGGTAGCATGAACTAAGTAAGTGTCCTGAAGGGTCAGTGGCACAGCCTCCCCAATCACCGGAGCTGGGTACTTGAGTTTTTCTTTAGCTGCTCAGATACAAATGTGGAAGAGGAATAATATAGTATGTCCATGAGTAAATCCCTCCCATTGATGTACCAACAGCAATAAAGGCTCAACTACAACACGGAAGGTGGATGTGGAAGGGTCAGAACACACCTTAAGAACTGGCTATGACCACAAGCCACCAACCTGTGACCACTGTGGAGGATCAGCTATGCAGGGACCTACTATGCAGAGTAGAACTTAACCTCTGCAGGGGTCTGGTGTCTGCTGAGTCTGCCCCATGAGTATGTTGCTTGTGGAGGTGGTTGGGTGGTGGTGCTTCAACATGGTCTGAAGCTGTCCATTGGGTATTCTGGCTCTGGAACCTCATGGGAGGTGCAGGTCAAGGTCAGCTACTACCTGGGTTCTGCTCAGGACCACCTGGCATGAACTACAAAGTGTTCTGCAGACAGCTGCTTCTTGTGCTGGGCTCGGAGATGCCCAGATGAGGCCAAGCTATGAACCAAGGCCGGCCTCTGCTAGTGCCAAGCCTGGGCCATTTAGTGAGATGTACAGGGCTCATGAGGCCAGACGCTGCCCATTGATGAGATTTTAGGAAAATCTGAAGCACGAGCCAAACAGGCCATTGGTATGGAAAAGCCACTAGAAACAGTTTGGATGGGACTGGAAATTGGGTGGGATGGGGCCAACAGTGTGAGCCAGGTTGATGAAGTCTCAGATATGGCTGGCTTTGTAGGGGAAGGGCTCATCAAAGGAACAATGGCTTCTGCTAGCACTTGTGTCAGAGAGAAAGCTATCCCTCCAGTCTCCAGTTCTCACCCAGAATTGATTCACCAAACAATTCCATTCCTCTCGTGCGTCTCAGGTGCCTTTCAAGCTGCTGCCCTCACTCCCCACGCTGTAACTCACCTATTTTGCAATAAATGATCCTGAAAGATCAGAACTCAGGTGTTATTTATAACTAGAGGCCTGGTGCACGAAATTCGTGCACAGGACGGGGGTTGTCCCTCAGCCCAATCTGCACCCTCTTCAATCTGGGACCCCTTGAGGGGTCTGTTTAGGCCTGATCTGTAAAAAATCAATAAAATATATATTAAAAAAAAAAAAAAAACATTTAAAATTCCTCCATATCTGCCTGGCTGGTGTGACCCCAGGCTGCCACCAATGAAGGGGATTAACCCTGGTCAGGCTGAGACCCAGCCCAGGCTGCCTCCGGGGCCAGGGGATAGCATGGTGCTAGTGCGTGGCCCCAGCCCAGGCTGCTGCCGCTGCCTGAAGATTGTGCCCCAGGAATTCATGGCCCTGCCAGTCTGAGACTCCAGCTGAGGCTGCTGCCCCGGCCAGGGTATCGTGCAGCTTGAATGCAAGGCCCTGCAGGACTGAGACCTCAGCCCAGGCTGCCACCGCTGGCCAGGATCAGCCGGGATTGTGCCCAGCACTGGCGCCTCCCAGCTGGACACCCCGGGCTGCTGCCACTGGGCAGGGATTGCTGCGTGGGGGGCAGGCGCCTGCTGGGTGGACTTGGGGACACCCGCAGGGCTAAAAGGGCTGGGCGCTGCCATTTTTTATCTCTGAGTGATGGTTAATTTGCATATTACTCTTTTATTAGATAGGATGAGGAATATTAACGTGTATAGCACAGCAATTCTCAACCTTTTTTATCTTATGGCACACATAAACTAATTACTAAAATTCTTCGACAGACTAAAATATATACTTTTTGCTGATCTGACCAAAAAAAGGTATAATCTTGATTTGCAAAAGATAATAATAATAGTAATTACCTATCCTTTTGCTCCAAAGTGATTTTTTTTTTTTAAATCAGATGCCTATACTTCTATTAATCTGGTACAAGAATTAACCGATCAGACTCAAGCTTAATATGCAACTCTATTATATGACCTATATATTTATGGTTCAAGACAGGGCATTCACACCAGTTATTGTTGTACTGTCATTTTTTTAATATAACAATCTTTTAAGGGAAAAAGAGGTCAGTGTCCTGACTAAATAGTTAGGTATTGCATGTTCTTAAAAATTCTTGCAGCACACAAGTTGAAAATTGCTGGTATAGAGAAAAGACGTGAAAGCGGTATATGGTTCTAGTCACTTTCTAAACAAATATTGTATTTTAATATCACACAAAAGAAGCTGAAAATGAGATTCACTAATACAATTTGATTCACTCACATAATTTATTCCTATAATTCAGAGATGAAAACCCAGTATGCTCAAGATATGGACATAAAAACCACACTGGATGTTAACACCAGTGAAAATGAAACAAGTACAAACCAGAAACTCCTTAAACTAGAGCAGACATAAGAGTTGTCAAATAAAGGTGGAAGAAGAATTGATTTTAGAAGAAAAAGTACTTCCTAGCAATTCTTGTCCTTTATCAGAGATAAGGTTGAATGAGGACAAAAATGGCAAGAAAGTCCTTTCACAACACTCTGGAAAGATTTGCAAACTTGTTATGTATTTTCTTTTTTATTGTTAATTCTCACCATAAGCTATTTCTTTTCCATTGATTTTTAGAGTGTGCAAGGAGGGGGAGAGACAGAGAGAGCGAGAGAAACAACAATGTGAGAGAGACATCATAATTGGTTGCCTCCCACATTTACCCTGATCAGGGCTGGGAATCATGCCTGCAACTGAGGTACGTGACCTCGACCAGAATCAAAGCCAAAACCCTTCAGCCAGAGGGCCAACACTCTTAACTACTGAACAAATCTTCTTTGATACATAAGATCAGAAAAAGAAATACTGTACGCCAAGTTGATATGAGGAAACAATGATAATGCAAACAATAAACAATGAAATATTACAACTACCTTTATAAAACAAGAACAAATCACTGGCTTGAGTTCTTTTTGAAGAGACAAAATGTATTCAAATGGCCATATGACTATGAAATCACTACATTTTTTTTAACTTCTTCATTTTAGATTTATTACATTCTTTCACATTCTTGTTTATAGTCAATCACTAGATCCTACCAACTTATAAAGTTTCTCCAAATTCTCAAATTTCATTATCACACTAGAGGCCTGGTGCACGGATTTGTGCACTGGTGGGGGCATGACCTGTGGGGATTGGCCTGCTGTGGGAGTGCCACTCATCCCAGTCAGCCAAGCGGCTGTGGACCTGCCCTCTGAGCAGCTGCTGAATGAGGAAATTAGTCTGAGCTGCTATTTTGGGGTAACGTCTTGGGTAAAGGTGTGTTCTGTGTCCTGGAGGAACCTGGCAGAGCGCTTTGCACCCCAAAGCCACTCGGTGAATGTCCCTGACGTGTGATGCCAGGTGGGGGATGTTCAGGGCAGCCATGCTCTAGTATCCTCAATAATCAGGACAGCCTCCCTGGGGGGTCCACATTCATGTCCTCTCTTGCCATCCACTCATGCCAGCTCCCCCCACTCTTTCTAGAACATACCTTAAGAGTACCTGCATCAGCTGGTGGGGTCAGGACAGAGTCTGGATTGCCTCAGGTATTTGACAGGTACAGAGACTTGGCCTCACCCAAGGTCTATTAGTCATTCTTGTCAGCCAAGCAGCATTCCCTCTGTGGGAGCACACTGACCACCAGGGAGCAGCTCCTGTGTTGAGCATCTACCCCAAGCTGCTGGTCATTCTGCTGTTCAATCACTAGGCTTTTATATATATATAGATACCTATAATCCTATATACTAAAACCCTAACATGCAAACCAACCAAATGACAGAACTGGTCACTATGAGCGGGGCCTAAGCTGGAAGGTGAACATCTCCTGAGGGGTCCTGGACTGAGGATGCAGGCCAAGCTGAAGAACCTCCTCCCCCTGTAATCATCGATCAGCTGCCTCTTGCACACCCCCCACTGGGGATGTGCCCACAACCAAGGTACATGCCCTTGACCGGAATCGAACCTGGGACCCTCAGTCCGCAGGCCGATGCTCTCTCTATCCATTGAGCCAAACCGGTTTCAGCCATATTTTCAAGTCTTACTGAGGTAGCTGTGATAAGTCAAATGAGTGCAGAGACTAAGGTTAGATTTGAAAAGTAAGGCATCATTCATCCATTCATCACATATCTGTTGAGCAATCACTACGTAACATAATTCTGGGCTTGACAGGCAAGGAGCCTATGCTCATGGAATGTGCGGAGGTGTGTAAGCACCAGGAGAGGGAGGTGACCGACAAGGAACACATGAACACAGAATCATTTCAGAAGTGAAAAGTACTTTGAAGAATACCAGGTATGACTTGCTGGCAAATGAGCTATTTTAGAAATGTGGACAGGAAGGGCCTCTCAAATCTACTTGATAACCCAGCCATATGATAAAAGTTTTTTTAAAACTTAAACCATTTTACTGGAGGTTCAAAGACTCATAATCGCAATTTGGACATACATAAATCTTGTGAAATCCTCATAAGAAACAACACTCACCGATATGAAAAAAATAAAGCACAAACACTGTGCTCACTAAGAGCTAATCAAGATTGCTCTCTTTACAAAAAAACTTTCCTTGCCGGTCTGTCTCAGGAGACCCAGCCAGTACTCTGAAAGAACACTCAAATCCATTGGCTCTCCCCTCCTTCCCCCTAGCCCCCTGCCCCCGTGAGCTCAGCGTTCCCCCGGCTCTCTAGAGATCTGCAGCAAGGGCCATCGACCCAGGAGAACGCAGAGAGCAGTTCCACTTTCTGGCAGAGAAATCCTACAGGAAGCAGCCACCCCTGACTTCCTTGACAGGTTTATGACTGAAATCAGTTTCACCAGAAGATGTAGACATTCTTCAGCCTGGGGTAACATGCACCGCTCAAATGGGACCCCAAGACAGAGCCCCCAGAAAACTCAGGTCATGGGGGATCCATTCCAGGCACGTTCGGACTCGGGCTGAAGACACTGTGGTTCCCTAAACTAATTTCCTTGTCTGAAAGCGAGCTTAGCAATGAGTCATGCCTCTCCAGACAGGTGAGAAAATGACCATAAAGAACTTTAAAACGTGCACGAAATGTGGGTCTCAGGTAACTTAAACCACTCACACCAGGAGGAGCGCAAGCCAGAGCCGCGCGAGCCTCACCTTGACCAGCCACACGCCGGTGTTCTGCTTGGCGCCGGTCAGGTCGAGTTCCCCGCGCTCGGCCATGGGGGTCTGTAGCCGGAAGCGGAGTGCGACCCCCCGCAGGGCTACGGGGGCTGGGGGTTTGGGGGGCCTGGAGGTCCGGGGCACGACGCGAGCCGAGGTGAGAGGCCGACACTTCCGCGCCCACCTGCCAGGAAGGTGGAAACCCCGGGAAAGAGGAACACGCCGCCGGGAGCCGGGAACTGCGCATGCGCACTTCCACTGGCAGTACGGCGCGCCGGTGCGGACAAACTTCCTGTCGGCAACTCTTTTTGAGTGGGCGTGGCTACGGGTGCTGGCTGTGTCTGAGTATTTAAACGGAGGGCTGGCCGAAAAGAAGGTCGGCGATGCATTTAAAGACTAGGCCAACAGAACTGCAAGAGGAAAGTGTCAAGACAGAAAAATAGAGCTCAAACAGACAAAGACTGTCAATACCTGTGAAACCTGGCCAAGGAGAAACAGCATTGGGAGGACAGTGTTGTAGTAATAAGTAAATTATGTGAATTAGCACAAGTGGGCACTGGGATCAAACCTACTACCCTTGGGTATACTGAAAACATGCTGTTTCTAGACCTGAAGAAAAAGCAGTATCTCAACTGACTGGCTACCCTGAGCAACTCTGATTAAGTAAACAGAGGACACTCAGACTCCAAAACCCAGAGTCCATGAAATTAGATTAGTGACAATAGACTTGAAAGAGACAAACTCAATTGTTAAACTCCCCTGCTTAAACAGTTTCCTCTCTCTCTCTCCCTCTCCCTCTCTCTCCCTCTCTCCCTCTCTCTCTTTCTCTCTCTCTCTCTCTCTCTCTCTCTCTCTCTCCTCTTGCCTCTAGAATAAAATTCAATCCTTTCTACACAGGTCCTCTCAATTTCATCACTATTATTAAATCCAACACACATCCTACTACTACACTGATCCTATCAGATCTCCCCAAAAATGTCAGTGTCTTCCTCAATTTTTTTCAGAGCCTCTGCACACAGAATATATATATATATATATATATATATATATATATATATATATATAATTGATTTTTTACAGAAAGGAAGAGAGAGGGATAGAGAGAGTTAGAAACATCGATGAGGGAGAATCACTGATCAGCTGCCTCTTGCACACCCCCTACTGGGGATGTGCCCGCAACCAAGATACATGTCCTTGACCAGAATCAAACCCAGGACCCTTCAATCGGCAGGCTGATGCTCTATCCACTGAGCCAAACCGGTTTCGGCTGGATCCTTTTTACTCTGATGCTCTATTCTGCCCTTACCCTCAATCTCTCCCCATCTTCTGATGGATCAACTCCCACTTAGGTTTCAAGACTAATAGAAGTGTTACATTCTCTGAGGCCTTCTATCAACTCCTCCAGAGGAAGTTCATTTTACTTGATATCACATTATAATATACATGATTACATGCTGCCTTTTCTTTCTAGACTATGAGCACCTCCAAGGCTGAATTAGTGCTTTATTTATTTTATATCCACAACATCTAGCACAGTGCTATGGACACATTTCAATAGGTTTTGGCTGAATGAATATTTTCTGAAGAAAAACAAATAGTAAGATATTGCAAGAATGGCAAGTAATGTATTGAATCATGCATCTGATCCATACACATAATTGAAAAAATTCTATGTCTGTGAGCATAGGGCCAATAACAGCCAGTAGGCTTCAGAGATGAGCTGGATAAACTAATAGGAAAGATTGAAGACCATGCATGTGTTGAAAAGAAAGATTGCATTCATGTGCCACAGCTTGGGAAAGGACCTTAAAATGTATAAAGGACACATGTGTGATGAGAGGTGCTTTAAGCTTTGATCATATGCGAAGAATAAATTTAAATATGAGACCAGGCAAGAAGGAAATTAAACTAGTCTAGAGCATCCTGGTTATGAACTTTAGGGTAAAGGAGTAGAACCTTGGCCTTGATCTATGGTGTGTGAGTGTGTGTGTGTTTATAGGGATTGGGGGGAAACACAATAGCTAAAGAAGAGATGGACATAGAAGAGGTGAATATTGGAAAATGATTATATAGAAAAGAAGGAAAAATCCCACAATGTATTGAGCACCTAGCTTCACCCACTGTTGAATAAAGAACACACTTCCCTTCTCTGTGCTTTTCAAACCTCCTTCCTGCTTAAGGAGAGATGCTTACAAACTGTGAGAGAAAATGAGGGCATGGGCTATTTGAACCAGATTCACAGATTTACTCTGGAGACTTGACAGTGTAACAGATACTGAAGCCAGACCCAGCCCTTCCTAAAGGTCTATAATATGCCAGACATCAATAATTTCAGCCTGATACAATTTTATGTTTTTTTCCACCAAGATCCCACATCCTTAATATCCATTCTTACACAAGTTCCCTGGATTTTTGCTCATGTCCTATATAATAAAAGCCTAATATGCTAAGTATCCAGTTGTCTGTTCAGCTAAGGCTGCTCAACTGCTCACTATGATATGTACTGACCACCAGCGGGAAGATAGTCGACCAATCAACCAGTCAACCAGTCGCTATGATGTTCACTGACCACCAGGAGGCACACTCTGACTGGTAGGTTAGCTTGCTGCTGGGGTCCAGCCAATTGGGACTGAGCAAAACAGGCCAGACAAGCCCTGAAACCCTCCAGCAGTCCCTCCTCAGCTGGCCAATCTCCTGCATCCCTCCCTGGCCCCGATCATGCACTGGTGGGTTCCTCTGCCTGGCCTGAATCTTCTCACCATCATGGATCCATCAGGGGATGTCTGAGAGCCGGTTTTAGCCCGATTCTGCAGGCCAGACCAAGGGACCCCACTAGTTCACAAATTTGTGCACTGGGCCTCTAGTAAATTATAAAACTTAAGTAGTTCTTTTGGAGTATATCACACACCTCCTTATAGATAACCCTTTTTACTTCACCACTGTGGGCCTACTGGAATTTGAGCCTACTCATAGGTCTAGAAGCAAAGAGTGTGGTAAGTAAGTCCTGAAGAGAATTAGCATTGTCTTGGAAGAAAACAGCCCTAGGAGAAGCCATTACTTTCCTCAGACAAATAGAGTTAATTCCCTCAGAGTGGAATAGGGGATGGAAGGGTTGCTACCACTGAAGGGGATATGAGTTCTACTAGGACAGTGGTCTGCAAACTCATTAGTCAACAGAGCCAAATATCAACAGTACAACGATTAAAATTTCTTTTGAGAGCCAAATTTTTTAAACTTAAACTTTTTCTAATGCCACTTCTTCAAAATAGACTCACCCAGACAGTGACGTTTTGTGGAAGAGCCACACTCAAGGGGCCAAAGGGCCACAGTTTGCCAATCACAGTACTAGGGGAAGCCACTTACACTGACAAAGAAGATTCATCTGAATTTAGGAGTTCACTGTGCCTAGATTTATTAGGGTTGTCCTATTCCAACTTAACAGGATCCCATTTTTTCCTAATCAATGCTCTCACTTTAACAGCCTATGAGGCTGGGAGTTCAACTTATGTTGTAATTCAGCAAATTATGGGAGAAGAGTTTATGCTTTATTTGTAGCAATCTTAGCCCCAGGGATACAGGCAACAGGGCTTCCTTCAGGGCACACATTGGAGCTTTCGGGTCATTTATAAGGTGCTTGAACTGGGAATTCAAATCCCTGAACTCATCTGACACCTTCATCAGAAAGAATGTATGCACTCATATCTTCATAGCAGTGCAATTTACAATAGTTAAGATTTGGAAACAGCCTAAATGTCCTTCAGCAGATGAGTGGATAAAAAACTGTGATACATTTACACAATGAAATACTATGCAGAAATAAAAAAGAAAGAACTCTTTCTTTTGCAACAGCATGGATGGATCAAGTGTATTAAGCTGAGCCAAATAACCCAGTCAGAGAAAAATAAGTATCACATGATCTCACTCATATGTGGAATCTAGTGAACCAAAATAGACCCAGAATCATAGAAACATGAACATAATGTTGAAGCTCAAAGGGAAGGCAGCCTCCAATAAACTTGTATGCATATGTGCATAACCCTTGGACACAGACAATGGGGTGGTGAGGGGCTGAGGAAGGGGAGGGGACAGAAGTGGGCTGGAAGAGGTCAATGGGGGAGAGGGGAGAGAAGGGGAGTCCATGTAATACTTTCAACAATAAAGATGTTTTTAAAAATCCCTGAGCTCATTCTTTTCTTTCATCACTTTGTCTGCAACATTATAAGCAATGAGCAATCTCATTATGATAGTTAGTTTTTGTTTTTTTAATTTTTCAGAAGTATCATATACACAGTCACTCGGATCCTTGCTTCTTTTAAGTGGTTGAATAGGTGCATCCAATAAAGATATTTTATGGATTTCTATTGCCCAATCACATCATGGATATTCAGTGATATCTTTACTACTAGAAACAGAATCATTAGCATCTTTAATCAGATTAGAGAGGAATTACAGGAACCCCAAAAACAATTCAGAAAATTCATCCTTAACATTCTGTTCCTTAAGAACCATTTTCCGTACCAAAATCTGTATTGAGCAGAGAGAGGAAGGAGAGGAGGAGTGGAGTGCTAGAAAGGGAGATTAATTTTAAGAAATTGAAAAAAAATTTTTTTTAAGAAATTGGCTCATGCCCTGCCCAGGTTGTTCAGTTGGTTGGAGTGTCATTCTATATACCAAAAGGTTTCTGGTTTAATTCCGGTCAGGGCACATATCTAGGTTTCAGGAGTTCAATCTGGGCACATATGGGAGTCAACTGATGGATGTTTCTCACACTGATGTTTCTCTCTCTCTCTTTCTCTCTCTTCTCTCTTTCTTTCTCTCTGTTTCCCCCCCCCCCTTCTTTCTAAAAATCAATAAAAAACATATTCTTGGGTAAAGATTAATAATAATAATAATAATTTAAAAAAGACATTGGCTTACACAATTATGGAAGTTGAGAAGTTCTGACATCTGCAGTTGGCAAGCTGAAAACTCTGGAGAGTTTATGGTTTACTTCCCATCTGAAACTATAGGTCTGAGAAGCAGAACCGCAGGTGTGAATTCCAGTTCGAGTCCTCATCCAA